TCGTTTGATATCGTTCGTTTTTGTGCAATGTGATAGACAGATGTGTGGAATCCAAACACCCATAATGTGCAATCGCAATACATAAAAAAAATATAGATAAAAAATAGTATTAATTATAATAAAAAAAATAATCAGTAATATTTTTCCGTATAGTTTAAAAAAAAATTAATTCTGACATTATCCAACTAATATTATTCAATCGATTATTATAATTACTGTAATTTTGATAAGTGCAACGCACTGTGTTATACGGTGCAAAATATTGTTGTATAAAGTGCAATTTATTTATATATAAAGTGCAATACTAATATTCTAGTATGTTATCACGAATGTGTGTTTTTTTTTTTTTGATATATATGTGATGGATTTAAATTATTATGTCGATTCGTTTTTTATATTCAGATTGCGTAATATTTTGGCGTGATTTGTTGACATTAATTGTAGAGCGTGTTTATAAACATGGTAATTTATTGTGATTGCTGGAGAAATAATTTTCTATTTATGTTAAAATTATATTAAACAATGTAATAATTTTATTTATTATTTTTATATTATTTTTTGTTGAAAAAGTTTTTAGCTCGGTTGGTTTCATTCACTATTTGTGCGATTTGATAGTCGTGATAAAGTGCAACATTTTGTTTTGTAAAGTGCAACGTGTTACTTTATAAAGTGTAGCGTGGTGATATATAAAGTGTACTACTGTAATTTTGGTACGTTATGATGTTTGTGTTTTTTTTTTTTTTGGATAGATGATGTGATGGATATTAAAATTTGATTTACGCTGCGTAGTATTTTTGGCATGATCTATTGACGTCAATTGTGGAATACGGTGATAAAATATAGCTTGCTTCATACAGTGCAATGTCTTGTTTTATAAAATGCAGCGTGTTGTTTTATAAATTGTAAAGTGTTGTTTTATAACATGCACTACTTTATACGATCCAATGTACATTATGTGTATTCAAAAACGAGTTTTAATAGATATAATTATACATTAAATTAACCTAAATAATTAAAATATTTTATTATCTATAATTAAAAGTATATTTAGTATTTTAATATATTTTTATAGCCTTTTATTGTTAAAAAAATATAATTTATAGTTAAAAAATTAATTTAGCATTCAATAGTTTTATTTATCATTTTTATAATAGTTTTTTATTGTTTTTATATAATAATTTTTATTTTACAATATATATGTAAAATGAAATAAATGAAAAATCGTATGTTTTATAAATTTTCGAAAATTACAGATTTGCCATGTGTGTTTAATTGAAATATTATGCAAGTATATAAAATTGCACTCAAGTCCTTCCCACTTATCACATTCTTCAAAGTAGGTCCCTTAATCAAATCTCATCTTTCCCGTCCAGAATCACTGCCACCGTCACCGGCGCCTGAAAATCGCGCCGCTTCCGGCCTGCCCCGCCCTGTCGGAGTGATGAGGTGGAAAGAGAGTTTTTTTTTTAATTCGCTATTAAAGTTGAGCTTGAGGTTCGATTTCCCGGCACTGTATTCCAGTCTTGGTCGGCGACGGCACGTTTGGAGGACGGCGGCGATCGGCGTTGTCGAGTGGTCGTCGGCTCCCAACTGCGTGCTTGTGTGAAATAAAGTGCAATATCGACGACGAGTCCGGCGGCAAGACCGGCGGCAGGTGGCGGCCATGGGTAGGGCGTGCAACTATGTGTGCTCAGTGTGTGACGGCCGACGGCACGTTGTGTTTGTGTCCAGTGTGTCTTTAGTGTGTGCAGTGTGTGTGTGTGTGTGCGCGTGTGAAAGGTAACAGGTACTGTGTGTGTTGTTTGTTTGTGAAAGAGAGAGAGAGGAGCGTGGGGGTGGGATAGGGTTGACGGGAATGATGGGTGGGTGGGGTTGGTTGTGGGTTAATGTGGGGTGGGGCCATCTTTTTTTGGGTGGTGTGTATATTTACCATAAGGACCTTAGTGAATGTACAATTTTGATTTTTTTAAACTGTTGGATCATCTGATCTAATGACTGCAATTTATTCTTATATTTTTCATTAAAACTAAACCCAACCCTATATTTATAAATCGTAAGAAATATGATAAAGTGGATAAATATGACAAAATTGATATATATCTTTATATCCATGCTTAAGCTATAACTCACACATGTGGCATAAGTTTAAGTTAGGTTTTGATTATTATAAAATATGTATACTAATCTAAAAATAAGTAGTTTATCTACAAGAAAGTGATATACTATCTGAACCGCCTTAAATCTATCTATATATTAAAAGAATAACCTTTTAAGGATTCCCGCCAATTTTTCCCGCCAATATATATAATCACCGACCAATTGTCTTTCCTGTTTGTTTGGTAGATAGGGTAGTCAACAGTTGATTTATTGGTATTTATTGGGTAGATAGGGTAACAAATCGACTAATTTATTGGGTAGAATTTGTTATTCTTTTTCCTTTTTTCGGTATCAAAATAAATATTTGTAATTATTTTTGGTATCAAAACTAATAATTTTCAAATTGTGTGTAATCAAATATTTTTAGATGGAACACCATAAATTCGGTATGATTTTAAAATTAGATTTATAATATTTTAGATACTTGAAACAAATTGTTTAGATATTTTTTTACATATTCATCTATATATTATACATATACACGTACACATAATTGATGTTAAATTTAAATATATGTAGACATGTTTTATTTACAAAATAGTCTAGAATTTTTTTTTTACACAATGTTAAATTCAAATGTTTTTAGATATGTTTTTCTTCTAAAATTATTCAAAAAAGTAGTAGGTGATTTTCACATTTTTCAAAAATAATATAGAAAAATTTGAATACTATTACATATATTAATATAATATTTTAGGATCAATAGTAATTTCTACTTCCGCCATTGAGTGTTTCAAACTCGAGATTTATTTATAATATTGTTAATTTAATATCGTTCCCGTGCATTGCACGGGGTGTACACTAGTTACTCTATAAATAGCAATGAGTTGCAAATTAGTGAAACCATAAGAGACAAAGAAAATATATGAACAACAAGAAACATTTTGGTGAAAGACTTTGCGAGTATCATTGTAGAAGGTATGTTTTCTACTTTTTATGTATTTAATTATGATAATGATATTATCTTAAGAATTATATGTCAAGTTGTTCGTCTAAACTTATATATTTTAATTATATTTAGAATTTTAAGAATCGGTGTTTGAAGAACATGAACGGGGCCACGAACAGTTATGTTTCCGCGACCCCGAACCTGGCCGTCGGGCTACTGAAACTTTATAAACATATATCAAATTAAAGCCCTAGTTCCTAGGATCATCAACTTTTTATTTTGAGGTGTCGAAGATAGGTAATAAGTCATATATATGTATTTTTTTGTAGTTGTGAGCAACCCGTTCAGTTTTCTTTTATTTTGACCTTCAAAAGTTATTCTTTTAATTTAGTTGTCTGCATAGAATTTATAGTAAATATAATGGTCTTTCTACAGGAACAAGAATTTCACAAATATCTATTTTATATAGAAAGTTACGTTTAAAATACAATCATAATGTTAGTATGTTTTATATCAACCATAAAACGTTTGTTTGTCGGTTTGCGGGATATTTCATATATTTACCGTTATGTTTTGATTTTTAGTGTCTTCATGAAAGTTTTAGTTTTATCTCTTATATTTCTAAATTTTAAAAATAAGTGTAAAATAGTTTATATATTAAAAGTTATGATTAAAATATGAGCACTACGCCTAGCTGTTTGTAGTCAGACTTTGTGGCAGTTTTACGTCGGTTTTGATTAGTTTTCACTATCCAAATATGCTCGTTTATGTTTTCAGTCTATATATAAATTGTAGGTTTGTGTCTTATGAATATATAGGAGTAAGAATTAGTTAAATATGAATTTACTAGCTATAATTATGTTTAAAGAATGAAGTATTACGCATGGTATTAAATCTAAGAATTTATTAATTTATTTATAATTCTTATGATATGTTAGAATTATAAATTAATGAACATATTTTTTTATGATTAGATCTAGTTAAACATACGAGTCAATTTTCATCTTTACAAGACTATAAGCTAAGGACTCGAGGTATGTACAAGTCCATTCCCAACTACAATGCATAAACATAGTATTGATCTACTCTATTATGTGAAGATTTATATGCTTATGTGAAGAGTGTTTTTATGTGAATAAATGTTGATATATATTGATATCATTGAAAATAGCATACATTTCATGTTCACGTGCATGCATATCTTACAGTCAGATAAAATATCTCGCATGCACGACATAATGAGAAAAGAAAAAGTATTTTGTTAATTAATTGGCCGCTGCTACGCACCGAAGTCAAGTGCCCCGTGAGACATTGCATAAGGGCATCTGAGACGTAAGGACTTAACTTATTATTATGTTATGCTCAGTGCCCCGTGAGACATTTCTTTAAGGCGTGTGAGACGTAAGGACTGGGTCATTCCAGTGCCCAGTGAGCCATTGCTTTAAGGCGTGAGAGACGACAAGGACTGGAATGTTATGATTATTGATGATATTGAACTCATTTCTGGTGCCTAGTAGTGAGGTTAAAGGGCCCAGAGAAATAAATGTTTTTCAGAAAGAAGTGTTTTCACAACACGAGCATTTGCATTTCATGTTGTAGTGCATATCAATTGATGATTTTATTTCTTGACATGCATGACTTTTACTTATTGAGCCATAGCTTATATAGTTTATGCATTGTAGGTGATCTTGTTGATATCTGATGATTGACATGACCGGGCTGTTGGATCCGAAGAGCTTTAGGGATGTGTACATGGATGACGACCTGTTGGGCCAGCGAGTGAACTTACGCTATGTTTAAATTTTTCTGTCAATAAAATCTGATGTATAAAAGTTTCATAAACAGTGTTTAGATCCTTTTCAGTATGTATAAATAACAATATCCATGTTATGTTTATAAATAAATTTAAGTAAATCTCCAAAATATAAGAATATCTAGTAGTAGAAGAGCGATCATGACAGAGTGGTATCAGAGCCCAGATTGCAGGTCATGTAGACTGTTCATGTACACGACTCAAAGCGCATGGAGTATAACAGTGCCAGTAAGCTTTCATTATTATGTGTTTTACTTGTCTTATACATATTATTGGCCATGTAGTATAAATATAGCAAGAACTAGGAGCGAAGGTAGTGGTGGTGCTAACAGAAGAGAAGGGGAAAGGACATATAACCCTAGAGACAACCATGATGCAGTCATCGGACGATTGAATGAACTGATAGAAAAATAATCCCATCAAATCCAACAACTTATTTAACAGAAAAATGCAAATGGGTTTCCAAGAGGTGCTGAAAATCAAGGGCCATACCAGGCAAGACCAGTCGAGATAGTTGGAGAAAGATTCCTAAAATTAAATCCACTTGTTTTCGAGGACGCTGCAGATCCAGTAGAAGCAGAAGATTGGTTGAGAACGGTGGATAACATGTTCCAATATAGCAGAGTTTCTGAGGAGGAAAAAGTTATGTGTGCCTCTTTTATATTACATGGTAGTGCCGGGCATTGGTGGGATACAATCAAGTGTATCGAAGATGTGACTACCATGACATCAGACCGATTCAAGGAGCTCTTCAGAAGCAAATATTTTACAGCTCCCATACGAGCAATGAAGATGAACGAGTTTATACAACTGAGGCAGGGCGGAATGACAGTTGCAGACTACATCCGCAAATTCGAACGACTCTCAAGGTTTGCAGAACATATGGCCAGTACTGATGCTTTGAAAACGGAGCGCTTCCTCAAAGGTAACCATAACTTTATAGAGACGTTTGCATGGCTGGGGTACATTGATCTACTTACTCACAAGTAGCTGAGAGAGCTCTTATTGCTGAGCAAGCGAAACTGAAAATAAGGAGCACAATGAAAACTAGACGCCAACTTGTATAAAAACAAGGACCTCATTGGGTTGGAATGGAGAAGAAGAGGCCAATGCAATTTCAAACTGAGAGACCTATATTCTGACAATGACAAAGGCAAGAGCAAGGAGATGCAAACAAGAGAATCAAATTCAACCAAGGGAAAGCTCCAACATTGCCTCCTACTTGCCCTAATTGTGGAAAGCAACATAGTGGGGAATGTTTGAGAGGAAAGGGAATATGCTACCGTGTAAACAACCAAGACACATGGCGTATATGTGCCCCAATCAACCAAAACCAAATCTTCGTGAAAATGCACCAGCCAAATTGTTCACCATGACTCGTGAAGATGCTGAGACGAATCCAGAAGTGATCACAGGTAACATATTAATCTCTGGAGTTCCTACTTTTGCATTATTCGATTCTGGAGCCATGCATTCATTTGCATCCACTGAGTATGTGAAGAGGTTAGGCAGAATACCTGATAAAACATAAACAAATTACAATGTTGCGATACCATCTGGAGAGACAAGATAAACAAACCAAATTATTCGAGCTTGTAGTGTCTCTATTGAAGGAAGAGAACTATATGTTGATCTGATCATAATAGACATGAATGACTATGAGGTAATATTGGGAATGGATTGGCTATCGAAGTACAGTGTCACAATTGATTGTCAAAGAAAGATCGTATCATTTCAACTACCTGGTGAAGAATCATTTTCTTTTATCGGGATTAGCAAAAATCTTCCGTTTCTGGTAATTTCTGCAATGAAAGCACAATGACTATTGAATGGTGGTTGTACAGGCTATCTAGTAAGTGTAATGAGTATTGAAAAGGAGGAAAGCCCCAAAATTGATAAAGTTCTAGTGGTTCGGGAGTACACTGAAGTATTTCCCGAAGATCTTCCAGGATTACCCCCAGATCGTGAAATAGAATTTGTGATTGATATACAGCCATAATCGGCTCCTATATCCAAATCACCATACAGAATGGCACCTGCTGAACTGAAGGAATTAAAAGTGCAGCTACAAGAACTATTGGACAAAGGATTTATCGGACCCAGCTTTTCACCTTGGGGAGCACCAGTTTTGTTTGTCCGTAAGAAGGATGGCACATTGAGAATGTGTATTGACTACCGAGAGCTGAATAAGGTCACAATTAAGAACAAGTATCCTTTACCAAGAATCGATGATTTGTTCGACCAACTTCAGGGTGCAACAATATTTTCTAAGATTGATTTGCGGTTAGGGTATCACCAGTTGAAGGTAAAAGAAGAAGATATTCCTAAGACGGCCTTTAGTACGAGGTACGATCATTATGAATTTCTGGTGATGCCGTTTGGCTTGACAAATACTCCAGCTGCCTTCATGGACTTAATGAATAGGGTATTTAAGGATTTCTTAGATAAGTTCGTGATTGTGTTCATCGATGATATTCTTATATACTCTAAATCAAAAGAGGAGCATAGCGGACATTTAAGGAGAGTATTTGTGTAGCGCCCCATTTGTTCCAGATTATTTTTGGATTTTTTTTATTATTTATATTTATCTTTCCAATCTAATTATTTTGGGCTCGATTATTTAATTTTTACACTATTTGATCTTAGGTGCTTTAGTGTATTTAATTATTATCGTGTTGAATTAAATTCCGTATTAAGTTCTGAACCGAGTTTCGAACCGAGTCGGGCTTTTTAATTTTTTTTTCACGCGCTAAATAGCCGAACTGCTCGAAGTCGACCCAACCCGCGCCCCATTGTGGATAACCCACTCAAACCGCCGCCCCTCCAATTCTCTTCGCATGCATGGCTTAAAGACTTATGTTTAAATTGAGTTTAATTTTTAAACCTCCAAGAATCAGCTCCTTATTCACTTTTATTGTGCAATTACCGTGAGTTATTATGTGGGATAAGTTACAAATTTGTTATCATTTAAAGAGAATTCCCTTCACTCTCATCCCTCTCATTCTCTCCATCTCTCGGCTCCCTCACGCTCCTCTCTTCATTATTCTTCAAAAAGTTTAGAATTATTCTCCTCTCTTCTCTCTTCTAAATTCACCGAAAAATAAGCCCCGAGCTCGTCAACGTTCCGAGCCGTTGCCACCGCACTGCACGCACAACCGCAAGCATCCCTTCGTCGTTGTTGCACCCGACCATTTGTTCGAGCCCTCATTGACTATTGTTCGATGTCCACCAGCGAGCTACCGAAGGACTATCCAATCACCGTGCAAGTCGCCTTCAATGTCGAGCACGTTCACGCGGACGATTTCCTCGCCCGGGACCGAATGTTCGTCACTCCCTTTGGTGTTTGGTAGTTAATTGCTAAACTCTATTTATATTTATGTAATTATGTGCTCATTTTCTGATTATGTTTGATTTCATGAGTTATTTAAATTTATACGATAATATATATTATGTTAAGCTTTGTAAAATATTGAGATCTTAGGGTTAAAAATCGAAACCCTTAGCATCTGAACTAATCTCGTGGATAATTCTTGGCTTATAGAATATTTTGAGGTCCTGGTCACAATGGCTTTGGTCTTGTACAATTTGGATTTGTATTTTCCGAGTTAAGCATTTTTTTAAGTCGGTATCATTTCTGTAAATTGCTAAATTTATAAAAACTCGTGTAGTGATCCAAAAATTTTGAATTTTTGATATGTTGCTCCTGTATTTTGTATCTTCTTTGTGTTAAATTTTTATAATTTTTGGAGTTGAATTGCTAGGGTAAATAATTAATGGTTTGTTTCTGCAGAATCTTTGAAAAATTATATAAAATCGAATTCTTGTTGTAGATGTATGAAACTTGGTTATTGTGCTTATTTAATGTGATGTTTGATACAACAAAATTTTAGAAAATTTTGGATTCAATAGGTTAGGTTTTTATTAAAATCGGGTTTTTGGCTAAAACTTGTAACAATTTGCATAATTTGCATTTTATTGTTTATGTCTGAAATTTTTATATATTGTCCTTGGCATAACATAGTATTTGTTATAAAAATTTGAAGTCCAAAATCATTCTTTTGCTCAGTCATTAAATCCACACTCTTTTATGCTGAAAAAATGTATTAATTTTGTAAAATCACATGGTTATGTGTTGAAGCTGAAACTTGGTAGTTTTACTTCATTCAGCATGGCCTATTATGTGTTCAAAATTTATATCGTGACTCATTCAATTGGTTAGACATCATGGTAATGTACTTCACATGTCGATTTTTACAAAAAAAATCCCGTTTAATAGGTAAAAGTGTGAAATTTGGCATGATATTTCTTGATTGTTTTTTCCTGATAGTGCTTTATATATGTTTAAATGTTTAGAGTCAAACTCGGGTTGATCTTGAGATAACCCTATCTAATACCCCAGTTCTCGGACGTTTCCCTGAATCATTGACCTCAATTGACCTTTGATTGGTTGTTGACTTGGTCAACCATAAATTGATTATTATGTGCTTATCCCGTACTTGGTCTGAGTCGAGTCAATGTTCTATAATTCCACGAGAATTTTCCACGAGCTACTTAGTCAACGATTTTTCGACTAAATATGAGTTCTCGTTTTGAATTCTCGATTTTCAAGATAAGTATTTTTGAAATATTATCTTGAATAAAAATGTAGGTGTGTGAGGAGTTGAACCTCAGCCTACCTGCAACCAATCACGTGATTAATCTGTTGCTACTAATCAAGTGGGTGTTGATAAACCTTACCATGTATGTTAATTTCTATAAATGCTTGGCTTGATAATCATTGTGTGCGTGTGAACCGATAGTCTACGAGGCCTAAATCTAGCCTTTAGAGAGCTGACTCCGCGATGGTGTATCGACGATTTGCTCCTGTCTTTGTTGTATCGACAGTTTGCTCCTGTCTTTGTTGTATTGACAGGTAATCTGGTCTTTGTTGTATTGACGGGTTTAGGTGTGATCACATGAGGGTAGGGCTATGTTAGGGGGTAGACTAGTCGATTTGTATTCATGCTGCGATTATGATTTTAAGTCTTTATATTGATTATACTGCATGGTATTCCCACGGTGAGCAAGTGTTCGCTCACCCCCACTATTATATCTCTTTTCAGGTTGAGCTGGTGGTCGTGGCTATAAGACGAGCAAGGCAGGGTCATTACGTGCTATTGAACTGTTTTACCTGCTTCTGCTTTGATCTAATATTTATTCTCTTGTCAGCATAATTATTTTTGTTTATGGAGATTTTACCATGTTTGGGATTTGAACTTAGAATTTGATTATGTTATGACTATTGGATTATTTTATATGGTTGAATATCTGTTAAAGCATAATTGATTATTGACATGAGACGAATTATGATCTAGATGGTTGTTTCCCAGTTTAGTTAAGTGTGATCTTAACTGTGGTTATGTGAATTTTTGAGTAGCGCTTGTTATATAAATCTTTAAATTGATTTTTGAAAAATTAACTTTGATTTTTGGAAAAATAAATTGGTATTTTTCACTTAAAAATAACGACGCGTTACAGTATGGTATCAGAGCTAGTCTGCGTTTATGTAGACTATCTCTAGTGGTACTGTGTAATGACCATTGGCCACTCGCTTTCGTCTCGCCGCGCCAGCTCGAGGTATGAGTTTTATAGTTTTATTTATTTTACATGGGGCTTAGGACTATGCACCTTGGTATGTTTTGAATTCTAGTGTTTATTGGGTGAACTCTAGTCGCATTTGGGACTAGTTATAACTCTAGAAATTTCTCTCTACAAGTTGCGAGATAACACCTTGTGCGAGCTATCTCGTTAATAGTTGAGATTTGCGTATATGCACCATAGCTTTTCTGGTGACCAACGTTAGGATGCCTTATTGAGATTAGACAAGTGAGAAGTTTCGAATGTGTGGGATCACTCGAACGTCTGGCGCAACTGACAAGTGGACCGAAAGAGCAATGGTGGAATCCGATCATTGGAGTGCGATGATTGTGATTTAAGCTTCGATCGAGTTG